AGAGCTTAAAAGGCTCTCGTGAGTACCAAACTTCGTCGTAAGCACCGTTGACGAGGGAAAGGGATGGCTGGACCCTTCTCGCGACGCAGTCGTCCCCGCTTTAAGACACTCTTCTTGAGGAAACTCCCCGCTTAAAGGACATAATAAATCCAGAAATATGGTGCCCCGCAGATGTGAAAATACTATGGGGGGTTCGTGCATTCGTTCACTCATGAAACTCAAGTCAAGCGAAGAGCGACGGAGGGGGGCGAGGCGCAGGCGACTCTTCGGGATATGTGGGCGGCGTAGCCTTTGTTTTTCGGGGACAACTGCACTATGGATGTCCACGTTCATTGTTTGGTGTTATTTGTTTGCCTTGGTTCAAGTCTCGTGAAGTTAAACGTGGCATAATTTGTTTTGTGTTTTGCCTCCTTTTTACCTTTGGGGAGGAACGTTGTCCTCTCCTTCGGTGTACTTTCCCGATTTCTTGTCTGGTGTTGTCTACGTTATTACCGACATTCTCCTCTTGAGTGTCGTTCTAAAGTGTGGGTTGTTTTGTTTGGTCCCCATGTGGCAGGTAGCCTGCCTGTATCGTATCAGAGTTAGTTCTAACAGCTGATGTTTCTCAGGTAGGTGCGGTAGCGAGATCTCGGGCAAGATGTTCACCGTGAGGACAACGCCTCAGCAATGATCAAAGCCGGTAACAATACCAGCGCACCCCTTCACGGTTTTGGTGGTAGGGGGAAACTCAAACTATGTACAGCAGTGTTGGAGTACAACAGCAGTAGCTGCGGCCTTCAGATCACGTTTTGTCGTAGGTTTCCAACAGGGCCGTGTCATGGTCGCATTCCTACTGCGAAAGCGCGTCTTTTGACGTATGTTACCCCTACATTGATTGGCCCCGGGGACGGTGAGTTATCTAGTGGCCCCGGAATCTTCGAGACATTTCCCCGCGTAAAAGACACTCAACAAAAAAAGCACGTAGTGAGCGGGGACGACTGTCAAAATAAAGTTCAGCGCGCAACGCAGGAGGAAGGTGGGGAACGAGAATTAATTAAATTTTAAAGCAGAAAAGAGCCCTGCCTGGTGTTTACCCCCTCCTGTCTGTGTGACCCTAGATGGTTGTAGCCGTACGACAAATTACACTGGAAAGTGTGGTACTCTACATAAACTGAGGGCCTGTTGTTCGTGATAGTTGCTGCTGTGTGTGTCGACAGAGTGACGTAGAAAAACTTGATGGGACAGTTTGCATTGCGGGACTGCCTGCGTTGAAGATCGTTGAGTAGCCACATATTATCAGAACAGCAAGGAACGTTCTGTGGGAATGTTCTTCGTGGATGGTGCATTACCCCGAGTGTGTTTCTTGTGGATAGTGCATCAGTCAGATGATTCATGGTACGTTGTGATGTACGTTAGCCCCTGTCTGTTGAGTCTTTGTGTTCCGATATCATTAGGTTCTGCTTTTGTGCGTTGGTCGAGCGACACGGGTGGTGGCTGCGGTGCTGCGGTGCTGTGGTGCTCCCCACCCTTGCTCACTTCACCTTTCGACCTGTTCTCCTGGTCCAAGGTCTCAACAACAAAACATCCTTTCCCCAGAAGCCACGAGTTTTCCAACACCTGCCTTAAGGTTAAAAGTTGCACCTAAATTGAGGACCCGAATACTTGGATGGACCTATTTGGGATATTGGCCAAAAAGGGCTTGCGTCGTTGTAGCGCAATTTTGCCACATGGAAGTTCAGCAACACCCAAAGGCGGCGGAATCGCTGCCGCGAGGTGACGTGGTGACCCAACCAGGTAGAGCGATAGACCATGTGTACCACACGGTAGCTGTAAAATATATCAGCACACACACGAAGCGAAGCATCAGCAGGCGGTGCCAGCGGTCCAAGCCTCATCCTTAGGCTTGCTCTATAAGCTGTTGTTTGGACTGTCTCGCTGCACACAATCGGCCGTTGACTTTTGATATCANTGCCGCGAGGTGACGTGGTGACCCAACCAGGTAGAGCGATAGACCATGTGTACCACACGGTAGCTGTAAAATATATCAGCACACACACGAAGCGAAGCATCAGCAGGCGGTGCCAGCGGTCCAAGCCTCATCCTTAGGCTTGCTCTATAAGCTGTTGTTTGGACTGTCTCGCTGCACACAATCGGCCGTTGACTTTTGATATCACACATACATATTGGAGAGCAACTTCCACAGCGACGCAACCAGCGCGAAAAGTTGGCACGCTCACAGAATCATTGCAATACAGCTATTTCTCAGCAGTGCGCAGTCGGCGATGCGTATGGGTGCCGCACGGCCAGTGTGCCACATGCAGTCCCGTCAGGGGTAACGCCAGCACGAGTGCAACTCGCCGGGTACTTCGATTCAGCAAAAAAAAAACAATTTGCAACTACTTTTTGCTGCACCCAATATCGAAGTCCCACCTTTCCGGGCAGAGAAAGACTCATCGTATTTTTTCCTGTGACCAATCAGCGTCTTTGGCCCCCGGCACCCCCCCGAAAATTATTTACTGCAGGGCCTCAATTTAGGGGCAAATTTTTTACGTTAGGACAGGCCCTGAAGAGTGCGTACACGTCTCACCACGAAAAATGGGTGGACTGTCGCCTAGAGTAACAAATACTTTGTTGTGAACCCATGTTTATGGTCTCCAAACCTTTGCGAAAATGTTAACATTTCAACATTTGCGAAACAACATTTTTGTTTCACTTTTTTCAGGAGAAAATCTTCCGCAAAATGTTCCCAAAGATGTTCAAATGGGGCAAACGTCGCTCGTTCGACAAAATGTTCGGAATTCATTTTGAAATAGGGCGGGTCGCGAAAATCTTGTCCAACAGCGGCGAGATCAATAGCCGACCGCCGCTTCCGTCCTAAACACCAACCACTGCGCAGCGCACACTCGACGTAGAAAGCTCACAGAGGGATCCGGACAACAATAGAGTCCCCGTGTCAACGTGTTGCCGGCTGATACATGGCGGAAGCTCGCCAAGCGTGCACAAAAAAAAAAACAGACAGGGGTGGTTTGGAGGGCACGGAGTAAACGTGGTTTGTGTCTCCGAACGGCAAAAAGTCGGCAGCTTGAGAAGGGACGTGAGTACAAAACTATCCAGCTCTGGTCCTCTAGACCATCGATTCATGTTTTGTCTTGTTGGGTGTCTTCGTCATCAACGGCTCTCACCCGGGTGTGGGCGGTTCAGCAGTGACGTACTCAATAGGCAGGGAGGCGCGTCGCTGTGAACTCGATGTGTCGAAAAAGTCTTTTTTGGGACGGAGGAACAAGTCCTCTATATTCAATTAAAAAAAAAATAGACCAGAAAAAACGTTGTGTCCACAACTTTGTGCGCATGACGATGTGCCTCCCTGCCGACTGAGCACGGCCACTGCCAACCCACGCGAAACCGGATGAGAGTCGTTGATGGAGGAG